AATGGTATATAACACTCAGTGATAGGCAATACCTGTTGTGACAAATCATGCCTTAATAATAAAAAAAAAACTGGCACGAACTTATTGGACAACCCAATACTTTGTCAGCTATGTTTACCATCTCCATCCACGGTGACCCACCGCCCGGGGAAAACCGAAGCCTTCCCTGAGGTCATCGGAGGGTGTATTTAATCCGGACTCAAGGACCAAGATCCGTCATTTGTTAGTAGAGATGCACCTCGACTGAACCCTCTGCTCGATAAGCCTAAGCACTCTATACTAATATGAAATGTGCGGCCATGCACAATGATGAGATGGTTTCCCTTCCATTATGCTTCTTTTTTCTAAGATCTATAATTTGAAACTTCCCAGCAACTTCAATCGCGGTATTATAATTGGGCAGAATCCATCCATTTGTGTTGCGACGAACGACCTCCTTGCTTTCAATCGAATGGCATAGTACGGTTGTGCGACTAGTTCGACGAAACCACTGCAGAAATACTCGCGTTATTTTTTTCCGGGGGGTTGGTAACTGCAGCAGCCTCACCTCCTCGCCGGTATCGCCTGTATACCATGTTATTCAACTACAGTGTACCGGCAGAGAAATTTATTGCATACCGCAACCCCCCACTGCATAGTACTACAAAATGAGATACCCGGCTCAGATGCAACAATTACTCTCGATGAATTTGGCTTGCATTTCTTTTCAGACACATCCGCTTCACTCGTACTCGAAAATCTGATTCGTTAACTACATTAAAAAGGGGAAACTAGGAAGCAAAATGGAGTGGATCTATCTTGCTTCGACCACGACTCCCTTTCCCACAAGATTGGAATCGGGTGAGTCTGAGTTACCTGTCAGAGTGAAAGAGATGACATTTCCCATAGTATGGACAAATTAAGGGAATACGTCAAGTAAAATAAAAAATTTGCATACCTTCAAATAACAGCAACCTTTAGCGAGTTCCCTGAAAAAGTTGGAATCATATGGCCACAGAGGGCCCCCTCCCTCTGGTGGGAAATGAAATTGAACGGCAAAAAAAGACCAATGACCGCTCACAATGGAGCCATTTTCATGAAGCATTCACTATGCTTCATGAGTATATACGAGTATGTTTCCAAGTGATTCTCAAATTTTCATCTGAAATTGTTGAGCTGAAGCAATTCCATTAGCAATCATTGAAAAGAAATTAGACATTCAAAATGGACAAGGAAGTGGAGTGGAGGAAACACTTGAACGCTGTCCCTCCAGGTCATCAAGAGCTCGTCAAACTTCCATTGAAATTCTTTGAGCAGATGGTTTCCATGAGCTTATTGCCATTGGATAGCAGATGAATCAATGAGTATTAATCCAGAGTTTTCTCAAAGTTATTCCAAATTTTCCTAGGTCTCCTGAAAGAACTGCCCATTTCAAGAGTCGGATTTGTCAGAGAATATCATTTATAACTTTGATATGAAGTAATGGATTTTGGCAGCCATGTTGACTATCAAATATATGGAGATCGACTATATCTAGGGTAAATTTCGTGAGATATAACTTACGCAGTCAGGAGATGCAGCCATTAGCCTTTTTTGTGATACCCTGCAGGCTCAGGCTGATATAAACCAGGGAAAATTTTGAATAACGTTTGTGAAAAGTCGCTGGCTATTGATAGTCGGATTCATTCGGAATGAAAACCCCCTGCAAAAGACAACCAACACAGACTAAATTTAAATGGAAGTGGAGTGTGATGTGGTCCCGATGACAAGGAGGGACAGTGCTGGAGTCCTGGATCCAGCACTACTAGCAGGAGCTCTTGTCTTATTTATAATGTCTAACTTCTGTCAATGAAAATAATTACTTATCAACTGTGGTTTTGAACAAAATACGAGGTCATAAAAATACTAGATAAAAAACACTAGATACTACTAGAAAAAATACTAGATAAAAAAACACTAGATACTACTAGAAAAAATACTAGATAAAATACTAGATCATAAAGTCGCGTTCTCAATTTTCTCAAGAAATAATTCACCAAAGACAACATTTTTTCTTCCACTTAAAGCACCATGTCTTTAATTCCTTTCCACGTATTCACCGCCAATTTCGATACACTTCTTGAGTCTGCTGACCCAAGCATCAAAACAGGCCCGATAATCCTCCTTTTTGAATGCAGCAAGCACTTTGTTGACCGTAGAAATCAGCGAAACGGCTCCCACGCAGTGGTTCTTTCATTTTTGGAAATAACCAAAAGTCACAAGGGGCCAAATCTGGCGAATAAGGTGGCGCCTCCATCAGGTTGACTCCCTTGTCTGCCAGAAAACTGATGGTGAGATGGGCCGTGTGTGCAAGTGCATTGTCATGGTGCAAGTACCAGCGCCTCCAGTTCACGTCGGATCGACATCTAGGCATTTTTTCCAACACTTCAGGCAAGCAAACCTCAGTATAGCGGTGTGTAGCGGTGACTGTCTTGCTCTCTTCCAGCGGAACTGCAGCAATCAGCTCATTTGCAAAGAAAATGGCAAACATTGTTTTCTTTGCGGACTGGACGCGACGAAATTTTGTTGGTGACGGTTCTCCTTTCTTGCTCCAGACTTGACCCTGACGCTTTGTTGTTGGCATATAGAAAGGTACCCAGGTCTCATCACCAGTGACAAGTTTCTGGAAGGTTTTTGCTTGTCCATTTGTGAATTTCTTGAGGAAAAACTTTGCAAAATCCACTCGGCGCCGCTTTTGCTCTTCTGTCAAGCGGAGTGGAACCCATCGCTCATATTTTTTTGAGAGGCCAAGGTCGGTCCTTCAAGATTGTTTTGCATGATGGATCACTTATCCCAAGGGTTCTCTGGATGACTTCGTAGGTGATTCGTGGATCTTCTTTGACGAGGGCAGCAACAGCAGCGACATTTTCATCATTGGTCGCTGGTTTTGGGCGTCCTTCTGGCGGCTGATTGTGGCGGTCAAAATTTCCACTCCGAAATTTTTCATACCACCTCTAGACTGTCCTCAGAGACAGATCTTTAATCCTACAAATCGTTTTCAGATCATGGAGGCAAAAAAAAAGTGCTTCCGAAGCACTTTTTTTTGAGAGGAAGTTGTATAAGATGAACGCGCGGACCTTTGAGTAGGCCTTTGAATAAACGAAAAAGTGAAGTTGACCTGCCAGCTTTTCCAGCTGGCAGGTCAACTTCACTTTTTCGTTTCCTGCGCCCTTCCATTTTTTCCAATAAATTTGAAAAAACATACGGTAACCTCATGAATGAATGTATTAATACATCACGGAGGAAGGAGTGCAATCAGCGCGGCCTAAAGCAACATGACGAACGACAGCCCTAGCCTAGTGCCCCTCGTAAAAAATTTATTAATCCAGACGAAGCACCTTAACTTCCTTTTAATGGGGAGATGGAAAGCTAGAACCACCAAGGGTTTAAAATTTCCAAAATGCGCCTATTGCAAGGGTCCACTTGTATTAAATATGCCTGGTTTGAAAATATTAGTTATTTGAGGCAACACAAAAAGAAAAAGGTAGTTGTCCAACTATCAGATCTATTGAGCCTTTGTAAGAGGCCAGGATAAGTTATGCTTTAAAAATAACTATGTATAGTTCCTGCTAGTTTCACATGAAAGGAACAATATCTCCAATAAAAACATTTTTCTGAAGTTTTCATCACAGCTACTATTCCATTTTCACTTCGGTCACAGGTCATTTTCTATTTTCCACAAGCCATTTTCACAGGTCAAGAAAATAACTCTAGTATTTCCACATGGGGCTTTTCCAAAGCAAGGTTAGGTCAGTTATTGGCATGGCTATGAAGCCCAGTTCAGCCCCTGGTTTAATATAAACATTTTTGCTAGGGAGCAATTCCAGAATATACAGGGTTAAATGTTTTCTTACTTCTGACACTTCCCCATCTCTCAGCATAGCAAATTTGGAAATTTCCATGATGCAACAAAGTGATGGCATTGTTTTTGAAGTTAGCTTGAAGCAAAGCCTTGTAACGTTTCCCATTTCTTGTGAATATGAAATACAGTGAAAACTCGTTAACTCGAACTTTCAGGGACCGGGCAAATCGTTTCGAGTTATCCGAAGTTCGAGTTATCAGGAATCGCCCCCCCCAAAAAAAAAGTTAAGGGACATAGGGGACAGAATGGCTCGGAGTGAGAGCGATTGATTGGCAGTGCGAATGTTGGAGGCTTTTTTTTCATAGCCAAAGCTTTTCGGTTTTAATCCTCAGGTTTAATCCTCTCCACAGGCGTCTGTGTGGGAGGAAGGAGAAGCAGAAAAAATAAACACAAAACAAAAGAGCATCCTCCCGAATCCTTCTTGTCATTCATTCTACTCAAAAATCGAAAAGTCCCAAGAGAAGAATTTTTTCGCCTTCTCGCGCTGATTTCGAGTTAACCGTGAGGAAATCGTTATAGGGAGTGAAAATTTCATTCGAGATATCCGGAAATTCGAGATAAGCGAATTCGAGTTAAACGGAGCCTTTAACATGGTGTCCTACAGGGTTCCGCCGGGAACAAGCATTGAACTTCGAGATAAGCGGAATTTCGACTTATCAGGATTCGAGTTGACGAGTTTTCACTGTAACTTCATGCATTTTAAAAATTGATTTAATACTTTTTCATGATGGCTTCATACTTTTTTATGTCAAGCCAATGATGATTACAATGGAAAGTTATATGGAAGTATACATCGATTTGAAGCTTCAAATCCATGTCAATTTCACAACAGAATGTGTTCCCTTAAGGACTGGCTTTAACGTTGGTATAAAAAAAAGGGGCACTCATTCCACATTGCAATATGCAATTATCACAGTTTCCCATACTGAGAATCTGCTGAGTTAATGTGTTACTCTCCAACTCTGCAGGCAGACAATACCGTCATGAAAACTAAATATAGAACCAAACACACTGTGCCAATTTTCGCATTCAAGACCTCCAGAATCTTCCAGTTCCATCAAATACATCTGGCAGCCTCATAAAATAAAAAAGTAAAATATTAAATCAATAAAAAATATAGGCATTTCATATAGCACTGATTATTCAATAAGATCAAATCCCTGCACATGATATAGCACACATAATTCAAATCAAGCACCCATTAAACACAAACCTTTCTCTGCTAAGCCATATATGAGACTTTCAAGATGCTTGAAGATAGAAGGTAAGCATGTAGAAATGCTAAGATTCTGCCCCTTAATACAAATGGAATGGATATTGCATAACAACCCTGCTCAAAGTTTAGATGTCATGGAACCATCCAGTTCAGATGGGGACAATGGATCAGGTCCAATCCACTTCTTCTTTAGCACCATAGCAAGTATTGGGAAACGATCAGAGCCAAAGAAGCAATGCTCCTCCCCATTGGCATGAGCAATGATGTAAGGAGATCCAAATGCCTACAAAAAAATAATGAATTATGCAGTGGCTTCACAAGGAATCCATTTAATCAAGAAAGGTCAATTAAAGGTTAAGGAGGTAATGACAGTTAGAAAACACATTACAGTTTCTATGAGGAGTGTGAAATATGTCACAATAAGGGCACAAGGACAAGACACCAAGACAAGGGTGATGAGTCACATAGTTGGGGTAAGTACCTAGTAAGTAAGTATTGAATATTTTCCACAAAATATTTCCACAAAAAAAAAGCATCTCTGCACTGTAGCAGTTTATTTTTTAATTATTATATCTCCATTCAATACTTAGTGAGCCCTTTGTTTATCTTCACATGACATGAAAAATAATGAAAAATTCTCCCATGTATAAAAAATTTCACGCATTGCTTCAAAGGCAATGAATTTTCAACATTGAAGAATTCAAAATCAGAGTTAAGAATCTGCATGCACTTGCCCAACCAGTATGTCACTTTGAAGCCCTCCAACATGGGTGTATAAGGGCCAGACAGTTGCACTGAATAAATCAATTTTTAATACCTTTTAGCTTGCACTATTAAGGTTGCTTTGTGTTCAACTTATATTTAAATAAATGACAGGCATTTTCAGAAACCCAAATTATTTTTTATTCATTCATTCATACCCAATTAATTTTTAATCATTTATACCCAAATTATTTATCTGAGATGTTCTGTACAATAAAAACATGAAATGTTTATATTATTAAAGGAAAATATGTTTACTCACGTATCAACACCTTCAAATTAAAAATTGCAAAGCATTTTTAATGACACATTATAGGTGGAATTTATCAGAAATCAATGTCACCACTGAGATGGCCATTCAATCATATGGGAGGGCACCAAAAATGAAGTACTTGGGAAGGATGCATGCAGATGCAGATGAATGGTTCACAGAGGTTTTTGATGATTCAACATTCAACATTCAAAAAGCTGTTGCATCTGAAGCACTGGGTGAAATTTTTTCAAATAAGGTATAAATATTTATTAATAATCTGAGATTTTATTTGCCAATAAAAATAGGTTTCCAATGTCATGATCCTCTACCAAATGAGACATTGGAAAGTGGCACTGCATTGCAAATGCATCCCAAATAGCAAATATAGTTCATAAGATGAAAGCTGACATTTTTCTTTGGTCACAACCATTTCTTATACTTATTCATAACTCACATCCTCTCCTAGCTGCAAGAGATGAAGTGGGGCATTAGAAAAACATGGTGTCAATTTAAAGCTCAAGCCACTTCATTTGCACACACTTCATTGGCACACACACATATCTGATACCCCATCTCTTGGTAATCATTAGACATAGAGAAGATGGCTTCGTGTGTTTCTGTGCCCTTTCTTACAGATAGAGTTAATTGAACTGGCTCTAAATTCGATCCATATCACAGCTCTCAGTTTCAAAACTTTCCTATCTCAGAGAAGGAATTGCATATTCAAATTTGGTTTTCCTCATATTAACTCTCCACACAAACTATGCCATTGTTTTCTCTTATTTCCAGTCCTCCTCTAACATGCATGGAGAAAGTTCAATGTAGGACAAATTGACACTCTAAAATTAAGGGATTCCAATCAAATCACTAACTCAAGTCTACAACTCAAAAGACTATACTGAAGTCAGAAGACAGGATTAAGTGCAAGCAAATGTCATATCACTATAGAAAAAGCATAATAATTTTTCCTAAAGTACATGCTATCCATGGTCGATCAGCAATCAGCACTACTTACTCCTTTCTCATATGCATACTCAGTTTCTTTTTTCAATTTTTCTTTGACAGCAGTTGTTTTCAGCATCTCAAGACATTGCTGGATATCCTCTTTAGAAAGACCAGCCCTTTCACCCACTTCTTTAAAGCTCTCTGCCTCTGTGATGTCTTCATCCTGAAACAAATAGATCAATTATTCATAGGTGTGGTCTCCTTTTCATAACCCTACAGTGAATTTGTATTCAGAGTACACAAAGCTTTCTTCCTTCATGCCATTTCCTCAACATCTAATGATTCTCAACTGAAGTAATGAATCTAGGCTGTCATACAGATAGAAGAGCACACCTCTGGCATCTAGCATGCAGCAAATGATTTCTACCTCATGACATGAAGAGTTGAATTACGCTGTCTAGTCACAGAAAATAACAGATGCTTACATGTAGTGTATGAACAATTAAAAAATCACAGTACAAAAATATCTGATACTTCATGAAGGATTCCCATGGAAGGTACAGATTAAATATTAAGAACGATGCAATTCTCAAATAAAAATCAAATGCAGAAACTATATGCAACAATGATATTGACGTTTTTGTCTCACCATTTGTAAAGATACTACAACCAATTGGCAACTGAAATGCAAAGAGGAAGCAATTCAGCTATGAAGATAAAGTGAATACAAAGCATGAGATAATCTTTTCTTGTAAAGTACATCTGACCACTAATACACATTATACAAATGACTTTCTCAATGTGAAACCCCATCACTTCGATTAGTTCTTCTCAAATATTAACTGAATGCTCACTGAAGCTACTCTTACCAATTAGTTCAGAGGTAATGAATCACAACCACTTAATGGTTAAAAATTAAAATATGATTTTGGTCTTGTCCTGAGTATCTGAGTAAGAGAGTGACAGTACCTAGTAAGATGTCTCTTTTTCTATCTCATGGGATCATCAATGAAACCTAACTACGAGGTCTGATCAAAAGTTCTAAGACTTAATTTTTTATGACGCTGTGGTGACTCTTTCTGACTGCTGATGGTTATATCCTTTAAACTAGTCCTCTTCAGCATCTACACAAATTTTCCGGAGTTTCTTCAGCCACTGGAAGCATTGCTGACACTCATCTTTTGGAGTCATCAACATGGCACTTTCGTAATGCTGTTTTAAATGTTCTGAAATTTCCATTCTTTTGCAATTTCAGCTGTTTCTGACCTACCCTGCAATCCCGTTTTTCATCAGTCATCCAACTGGTTGGGGTTTGGCTCCTAGTAATTTATTTTTGTTCCCTAAACTAAAGAATGTGCTGAAAAGGAGATTTTAGGCATTCAATGCAAAATTGTGAATGTGCTACAAGCACTGCTGGTGATTCCAAAGATGAGTGTCGGCAATGCTTCCAGTGGCTAAAGAAAGAAGAATTTGTCTTGGTCGAGCGTTCGTAGCGTGAGGACGTGTTGGAGGTTACTCTCGAGGTTGTGATTCATTACCTCTGAACTAATTGGTAAGAGTAGCTTCAGTGAGCATTCAGTTAATATTTGAGAAGAACTAATCGAAGTGATGGGGTTTCACATTGAGAAAGTCATTTGTATAATGTGTATTAGTGGTCAGATGTACTTTACAAGAAAAGATTATCTCATGCTTTGTATTCACTTTATCTTCATAGCTGAATTGCTTCCTCTTTGCATTTCAGTTGCCAATTGGTTGTAGTATCTTTACAAATGGTGAGACAAAAACGTCAATATCATTGTTGCATATAGTTTCTGCATTTGATTTTTATTTGAGAATTGCATCGTTCTTAATATTTAATCTGTACCTTCCATGGGAATCCTTCATGAAGTATCAGATATTTTTGTACTGTGATTTTTTAATTGTTCATACACTACATGTAAGCATCTGTTATTTTCTGTGACTAGACAGCGTAATTCAACTCTTCATGTCATGAGGTAGAAATCATTTGCTGCATGCTAGATGCCAGAGGTGTGCTCTTCTATCTGTATGACAGCCTAGATTCATTACTTCAGTTGAGAATCATTAGATGTTGAGGAAATGGCATGAAGGAAGAAAGCTTTGTGTACTCTGAATACAAATTCACTGTAGGGTTATGAAAAGGAGACCACACCTATGAATAATTGATCTATTTGTTTCAGGATGAAGACATCACAGAGGCAGAGAGCTTTAAAGAAGTGGGTGAAAGGGCTGGTCTTTCTAAAGAGGATATCCAGCAATGTCTTGAGATGCTGAAAACAACTGCTGTCAAAGAAAAATTGAAAAAAGAAACTGAGTATGCATATGAGAAAGGAGTAAGTAGTGCTGATTGCTGATCGACCATGGATAGCATGTACTTTAGGAAAAATTATTATGCTTTTTCTATAGTGATATGACATTTGCTTGCACTTAATCCTGTCTTCTGACTTCAGTATAGTCTTTTGAGTTGTAGACTTGAGTTAGTGATTTGATTGGAATCCCTTAATTTTAGAGTGTCAATTTGTCCTACATTGAACTTTCTCCATGCATGTTAGAGGAGGACTGGAAATAAGAGAAAACAATGGCATAGTTTGTGTGGAGAGTTAATATGAGGAAAACCAAATTTGAATATGCAATTCCTTCTCTGAGATAGGAAAGTTTTGAAACTGAGAGCTGTGATATGGATCGAATTTAGAGCCAGTTCAATTAACTCTATCTGTAAGAAAGGGCACAGAAACACACGAAGCCATCTTCTCTATGTCTAATGATTACCAAGAGATGGGGTATCAGATATGTGTGTGTGCCAATGAAGTGTGTGCAAATGAAGTGGCTTGAGCTTTAAATTGACACCATGTTTTTCTAATGCCCCACTTCATCTCTTGCAGCTAGGAGAGGATGTGAGTTATGAATAAGTATAAGAAATGGTTGTGACCAAAGAAAAATGTCAGCTTTCATCTTATGAACTATATTTGCTATTTGGGATGCATTTGCAATGCAGTGCCACTTTCCAATGTCTCATTTGGTAGAGGATCATGACATTGGAAACCTATTTTTATTGGCAAATAAAATCTCAGATTATTAATAAATATTTATACCTTATTTGAAANTGATGACTCCAAAAAAAGAGTGTCAGCAATGCTTCCAGTGACTGAAGAAACGCTGGAAAATTTGTGTAGATGCAGAAGAGGAGTAGTTTAAAGGATATAACCATCAGCAGTCAGAAAGAGTCACCACAGTGTCATAAAAAATTAAGTCTTAGAACTTTTTGATCAGACCTCGTATGTAAGTCAAATGCAAGATCATGGGTCAACTGGCTGAAAAAAAAACCCTTCAACTGAAATATTATCAAATGTCTTACAATAATGTCACTGCTAGATAATTTCTGATAGGACAGAATTGATACAACACATGAGAAAGCTGCTAATTCTGGAAAAAGACATTTCATTTGCCATCTAGGATCAACTCACCCAAGAAAATATCCAGGGTGGGAAGAAATGGTAGCTATTAAACACCTAACATTATTTTGATTTTGACTATATTTCCAAATATTTGTGTCTTTCTGTCTGTCTATTATGCATGGTCATGTCTTTGATCCCAGTCCAACCAAACTTTGCATGGCAGTTGGTCCAGGGATGGTCATAGGCTAGGTGGCGTTCAAAGTTCAAACCCCCACAGGGCAGGGCCGGCCCAAGATCAAATGGTGCCTCAGGCAGTCGCCTGGGTTGCCTACCCCAGGGTACCTTATTTAATGCAGACAAATATGGGATGCATACAATATTCACCCATACAACTATATCAGCAGAGGTACCCATGCTGGGTACCTCTGCTGTACATTATAGAACAAGATGAGAATGAAGGGCTAAATTTTTAAATAGAAAACTCCATAACTTGTTCATCATTAGTTTTGATTTCACCTAGCAGAAGTGACAGGCCTTCAATTGCATGCAATTCACAGGTTTAGAAAGCTTTGGTGTGGACTTCTCAGATGCTGCACATTTTTTATCACTGCAAAATAATACAATTTTTGTCAATAGCAGAGGGTGGGAAACATTCTCTATATATCCCCACCCTTAGAAGACATTTAATCTTATATGCAACAGGGATCATCCTTATGTCTTCTACTGGGTATGAAATAACTTTTAACCTACATTATCTCCACTCCCATAGGAGCTATTTTCAAGAAACTCGCAATGTGCAACAATGGATGTTTCTAATATATCTTCTAAAAATCATCCATTTTCATTTTCTGCAAAGAGAACAAAATCCAAATCCAAATGCTATGAGCATTTATACACATGAAATTGGAAAAGGATTCACACTGTAGTCATGAGTGGGAAATGCCTTCACACAGTGGTTGCATATCATTCAGGCCATATTGGACTTCTCTGCAAATAAAATTCCCTTTTTTTTAGCTGGTTCTTTCTTGCAGATGGTCTTCATAATATCTTTCTCTAATTGATGACAGATAAATCAATATGTATGAATATAGAGGCTTTACTCGGAGAGTATTTAGATTTTTCCTTGGTTATATAAGAGAACAAGACAGGGGAATCAAGTCACTCTTAAAGAAATGGAACCTCTTTCCTTTTTCCAATCATACATTTCTTTTGAATAAATTGTTCATGACCTTGCTTTAGCCATACCAATTAGGATGAGATTTTGGAAGTCTTCAGGGAAGGTCTATCCATGCACAGTGTAATTTTCATGAAAATAACAGCACAAAGAGGGTATCTATTTGCAAAATTGAAATGGTAAATTCTATTTTTGTCCTAAATAACGTTGCAATTCCTCATTTTCTATTTCCATTTGAAATTGTTGGGTTGTCTCCTTTTGCCCATAACTGGTCCTATCCCATTGTCAACAAAATTTCCATGAAAATGGAAACATTGGTTTAAAAAAAAAGTAAAAATCACTTTGGGCATGGAAGACAATTTGAGTGTAGATGATATTAAGGTTGTTGTAAAGGAGTGGTTGAAGAATGCAAATGTAAATTTTTTCAAAAAGGGATTTGATCTTTGGGTTGAGAGGTGGCACAAATGTGGAGCTCCATATAGAGGTTACATATAAAAGTAGCGAATTGTTCCTCAATGTCGTCTCTATCAATGTGTCAAATTTTGTTGTTTGTAAAGATTTGAAGTGAACAAGTTATACCCAAACAGGCATTACTTTCCAAACACCCCTCATGTGATATGGAAGATTCCTCAAGAAATAGATAATAGAACGATTATGTTAAGTAAAAAAAGAATGAAGTAGATGGAAAGGAGGCAAAGTAAGAATGCTGCATTTGTCCACTTGCTCTCAAAAAACCATTAAGAAAGTAAACACAAACCTAGAGTATGAACATTAAATACAGAAAGAAAAAAAGCTTGGCCCTCTTATACAGGAAATTCTTAGCATACCATGGACTAAAAATACCAACATGATGCCAAAGTCGCCACCAGAACTGCCTGGACACCTCTTCTACAAATGTTGGTTTTTCTTTTGCAACAGCTGTCACAAATCTCATGGCAGGCAGTGATCCCTTCTCAAACAATGTCTTGACTGGATCCTGCAAAAAAAATTAATTTACATCATATGATGTAAATTTGAGAAAAACTTAATATAATTTCAAATGCACCATTGTCATTTGAATAAATACACCATTGTGACTTTTGCAGAATATGAATCTCATCATCATAGTGATGAACCTAATGCTGTAACCCCTTATGAGATTCAGCTAGATTCATTTGTGACACAGTATCCTTAAACTGGGCTATAAAGTCAAGAGTTAAATCACAGCCACCCTTGATCCCAGGGATTGGGTTTTCTGACTGCAATCTAAGAGCGATCAGTTTCTACCACCTGGAATGTTGATTTCACTGTCAATTTTTATTATGATGGGAAAGGTTCCAGTTGGCAGAAGGTGTTGTTTCCCAGAGAATGATTCAGACTTGGTGCTATGAATTCAAAGGGGATGCTAAAGATTCAACAATGACTACGAAGAATGAAAAATGAAATTACAATAATGAGTCAGCCTAACCAAGACAAGTGAGATAACAATACAGTATTTTTCATTTTGCCAGGACACAAATGTACAAGGTGGCACTAAAAACAAAGAAAAACTAACCACCTAAAACTTTTACACCAATAATGCAAATATTCCTAATTCAGCTGCCAAACATGAAGGGATTTAGAGAATTAATTTAGATGAAAAACACTTCATCATATGGTGCATTATCAATAAATCTAATAATGAAATGAAGCTGAAAACAAATATCCCACTCTGTTCACCTTCATGAATGTTGCGATCTTCATCACTGAAGAATGGTGCACTTGACTCTAATGGTTCATAGAAATATAACTAATTTCACAAAAAGTTATCAAAGACTTTGGTGCAACACAGGAGACCATTCTCTCTCAAGAAGGAAAAACTGCCAACCAAATTGTGCACCTCCCAGTACCTGCATATTGCACTGGCTTCTTTTTTGCTGCATTTTTAAACATTTTGAACAGGCCCACTTTCCACCAAAACAACTTCAAATTCAAAATTCTGTAGCTGAATGAGAATTTCACATTAATTATGCACCCCAGACAGAGTTGCACTCAAATCATTTCTTGCTTCACAAATCATCATTGAGATCATTTTAGATCATTGGCTTCTTTTTGTGCCATTGTGTACATATGCAGAACTGACTGGGTTAAGAATGGTCATCAAACCAATAATCACTTTCACCATGCTGAATACCTTATGTAATGAAATACTAAACCTGGGAATTTCATGACTATAGACATCATGGCTGCATTTTCATACCTTTGATCCCTATGGCAAGGAGGAAGGAGTGAGAAGATATGATGGTTGTGTTTAATGGAGGCTGACAGATAATAAGAATATTCTATATTAGAGGGTCTGCCTTGATTATATTACACTAGCACTTGGCTACGTTGCTAAGATACTTCACATATACATATCTCAATGAATAACACTGCATGACTCAAAAGTTTGCCCAGATTAAGCACAAAAGGATTCATTGGTCAATTTGCCATGCAATAGGTTTGGACTCAGGTATCATAACATCACTACAGGATAGGCATAAAGCAAAAGAAGTTAGGAAATTTTATTCCCAGAAGTTCTTAAGGCAATTGGCAGCAATAATCCAAGTGTGTGCAATATCCAACTTAAAGCCATTTGGTACTCATGGTATGCACATGCTCCTTCACAATTTAACTGACCAGGACATATGAGAGTATCAGTGCACCCACAGTCACACCCAGTAAACATAGTTGTATTGTGGGAACCTTCAACCAGTATCAATAGCATCATCAACATGGAAGGTTCAAGTAACTGCATGAATATCTTAGCAATATTATGGCACTATGATATATTCTTAAATTGTATTTTTGAATGATATTCCTGGTAACATCATGCAGCATGCAATCCAATAGGGGGTACTTTTTTTTATACAAGAAATGATTAAGAACCCGGGTAGCACATAACATTGAACCAAAATGAAATAAACATTGAATTAACAACCGGACATCTAGTCAATATTCAATCAATGCTGATTCAGTGTCTTGTGCTACTGGGGAACCTGTCCAGTATTACTAACTAAAGTCAACAGAATGCTTCTGCTTCGACATTCAGCAGCATCATTTACCTGGGATTCTAGGAACGTGTCATGAGATGAAAACTGCCTAGTGGCCTCTACTGACCAACAAGTACTACAAGTGAACTGTGTTGATGGCAGTAAAATATTGAATCACTGTTCAGAAAAAGCTCTGATGTGGAATGTGTCTGTGCTTGCTTGGGAATGTTCAACCAATCTTGAACTTTGATCTTCATCTGAGTGTTCCAATAAGCAACATTATAATGTTGGCCCAATGTTCAAATGTAATATTACTTGAGTGCTGGGAAGGTTCAAAAGTAACATTCAAGTCGTGCTTGTAGAATATTATTGCACTGCTGGACAAACATTTAGTCAGTGTTGAACTTCAACATTCGTCTGCATATTGGGATAAGCAACATACAAATATTGCCCAGATAACATTTTTTGTGGCGTTGGTCCAACATAGGTTGTTCACGTAGGCCTCATATGAAAGTGACTGTTGGGCCAACATGGGGCCAACATTGGCAGTAAGTTGGATAGCAACGTATATCCCAAGTAGCTGGTTTTTGTTCTATATCATCATCATTTCGTTCCATAAACTTAGATTCCCTATCCAGTGGAGGTATTCCCATCTGCAGTATGGAACCTGTACTAAGTACTACAACCTACCAAGGACATGTATGTATATACCCTGATAGACAGGAGACATAGAACAGTACAGACGTGGATCATCCCCTGACTGTACTGATAACAGTACGTGTCGGAGGATGGACCACCTCGTACGGTTCCATAAAGTATCCACAATATCAGTCCTTCATTTCCTCCTACAATGGAAATTGAGAAATTGGTGGAGTTGAGTTCACGGATGCTCCCTCTATATTTCAGATATCCTTTTTGAATAAAATATTACTGTCTTTCAAATGGATTCTCTAGCCATGTTGGGCCCACATGAGGCCAACATCGTTCAACAACATTCATGTTCCGCCAACGTTTCCCACCTTTATCCAAATCTATAATGTGTTATCTGAGTGACCTAATGTTAGATGCAATGCCACAACACTAGGAAGGTTCAAAATTTTAAAAAAGTTATACAACGCTGATTCACTGTTAATTTGTTTGCTGGGCAACTCCTTTGGGAACAAATGCGAGGCCAACTTGTAACTTTGCCTGTTTTTCTAAAGTAAAAGCCAGTTTTGCAGAGTGCATGCTAACTCAAAAAATCCCTGTCCCCAGGAATGGCTGGCAACAGAAAACTCCATACCAAACTGGTTTAGAAATTGTAAGTTATAGGAATATTCTTACCCATATTTCAAATCGATGATGAAAGTTTGCATATTTAAATTGAGGATAATATCCATCATCATTTAACAAAGCATTTAAATAGTACTGAATGAATCTGTGATGCTTCTAAACATCAGCTTGTGAAAATGAATCCCATTCCTCCATAAAAAAAAAAACAATGGTAACAGTCATTGCTTGAGGTTAAGTAATTACTATCAAAGATTTATTCTTAAATTACTTCTTCTAGCTGATAGGACTGGATATTCTTGTGATACTTCGATGGAAACTTAGCAAGAATCATTACTACTTACAAATAGAAACTTATTCTTTTTTTGGCTAGAGAGAGTCAACAAAGGTCAAGTCTTATTTAACACAAATATTTCATTCCAACAAGATTTCTTACCTTCAGTTTACCAATTCTCAACCCATTGAAAAAGTTCATGCATAAAGTACCTAGGATAAGTAAGTTTCAACAACCAATGCAACATGATACTTTTCAGTAAAAAAATTATCACAAAAAGAGAGGTGTATAAGCAAGGAAAAGTAAGAAAAAGAAAGTGAGGGTGGGCCATGCATCACATCAAGAAAATGAGACAATTGCTATTGGGCTACACTTCATTGTTAACCATGTTAAGGAAATCAATTGATATTCTTCAGGTATTGTTTCCAAGATCACTTGTGCATATGCACAGAATACTTCAATAAATATAAACAACATATTAGGAATCAAATTATTCAAGCACAAATGGAATCCTGTTCTTCCTATGGTGCTCATTTAGTTTAAGTGTAAATTTTGATGAAGTTAATTAGAGTGTACGAAATCACGATTTTTCACACAGTAAAGAACATCACATTGGTCCATTTCTTTCACTTGCCTTTGTTGTCATTTACCTGACAAGGTCTGCTGCCTACATCATGACCTTTCTATGGGTTCTTCAGCAATTGAAATGAGGAAATACCAAGGATTTTGTAAATCCAAGACACTTACAGATATGTTCCGAAGAGGCACTTTGAAATACTCAGCTCCTCGCTGAAGGTCATGCTGCATGTACTGAGCTTTGTTGGGGACAGTCATGGGTGGTTTGTTCCCAGCCAGGTTCATAAGTCCACCAAGGAAAAAGGGTCGGAAGTACAAATCCAAATTCCATGGTCCCCTGTAGCGACATAGGGTCTATGAAAAAAATTGTTAAAATATATTTAGAAGAGCCTTGATTGCTAATGAATAGGCCAATGATGTGCCTACCCATGGCTATATACTGAGGGAAAATGATAGGAAAATAAGTTACACTATGAAATATCTTTCTCCACTTTATGTTCCCAAAAATTAGCATGGTGCATTTTACCTTTTCAGAGAAAACAGAAAATAATAATTGCAAAGCACATGAGCATCAAGGCATCTGGGAGAAAAACTTGGGTAAAAGAGGCAAATTCTGACCCTATATAGTTTTGTGCCTAAATCCTTCCTTTGCCCACCCTTTGAACTTGATGGTTTTGGAGCCCATTTTGAACTATGTGATGCTGGGTACAGACTTTCTGCAGAGGATTATCTGAATGCAAGATTTGGAATATGTGAAACCTAAGCTCACCCAAGCACTCCTTATCTCACTGCAAGTTCACCATAGTTACTTTTAGAGCTGATGTTTCTTGAAGTTTTGGCTATTGAAGAAAAATATTTATTTGGTGCCATGCAACATAAGCTTTTCAGAAAAATACTGTTCCAAGACTATCATTTTTCCTTTGGCTGTCAACTTACATCGATGGCATTCAATATTCGTGGAACTGAAAACTTCAAGTTTTAGCAAAATTCTGAGACCCCCTGTTGATTTTATTCCTAGCAAATGATAGGAACTAGGTTGGTGGCTATGTATGAAGGCAGTTTTTTAGACTAACATCTTTCTTGGAAGTAATGTAATTTTCTTTGGTGGCTTCTCCCTTAGAGAGGGGTTAATTTCTTCTTGACTAATTCAAATGAAATTTTTCATAGACATACACAAATATAAAGCATTGATGTGATGTACATTTTCTGTAAGAGGAATGTCCTAATAACCAATGGGTTGTCATGACTGTGAACATTTTTCACAGCAGTGGAAAACAGACAATATCTTCAAAAAGTTTTTAATGTCCCAAAATGATTTCTTGCACACATGTAGCAGTTGCATTGCTGAATATAATACATATATTTCATCTAAATTTCAATTTCTGTATTTTTGCTAGAATGAGATCAATGACCAGAATGTCTATTTTAGAAGCAAATGTGATATTTTGCAATGGCACCAACATGCATGGTATCTCTGAAAAATGCAAGAAATAACCTTTGAAAAGAGCCATGAACTACTTCTTTAGCTTAATTAGAAGAAAAGCTATAAAAACAAAGGAGGACAAGAGTCACCAGGTTGCAAAAAAGCCACTCTTTTCATGACCTCTTATCTAGAAATCTACATGGTTGATGGAAAATATATTTAGGTGGTAATAGGTTCTGAATCATACAGAACACTGGCTCAAACTTTTTCAAAACCAGATAAATTAATGCTTCATGGCGAGTTGATTTGACATGGAATGACCCTATAAATTATCAATATATAATGTCTGGCTGGACTGTTACAGGCTCAGCCAGCACAGCCTGAGGTGAGTAGCCTGGCCAGAGGGCTGCCTTGTATATGAGGGAAGAGCTCCAGTCAGGCCACTCACTTCGGGCTGTGCCATTACAATATTAACTAAATATAGACCAGAATTTGAGGGTCTGCTATAGAACACAGCACTCAATAGATTATACATGTTTACTTACTTCAAATGCAAACCAGGAATACGGAGACAACACATCATAAAACAGTTCCACTTTAGTTGCCATCCTCTTGTAGTACCTATAAGTTAACACAGGTGGAAGCTTTGCATTTTAAATCATGAGGGGCCATTCAAATATTTATCATGCCTTGGGGAGGACTGAAAGGAGGGTGAACAACAATAATCCGTTTCCAGTCCAGATCTAAGATTTCAGCATAATTTTCTCCTTTACTGGCACTCAACATCAATGAAGTAATTTTTATTTGCCATTTGCCAAGGAACTGGATGCTAATGAATGCTTTTAAAAATCATGTTCTCCGGGATCTGACGTTAAGAGGTTCAAAAATTGCGACGTGGTGTGACTGGGGAAGGAGGGAGGGGCAGATGAGGAAGTATCGGTGATCCAATACTTGAATAGGCTCAAAAGGGATAAACTTAGCTAATACGCATGGCATAATGGCAAGTGCCGCCGGAAACTGCGAAGCACATGTAGCACACGGTGCATCGCCATATACTGGGCGATGGCGCTCCGCTGTGTGACGGATGATAACTCGTTAACCACTGAAGGTGCTAATATGAAACACAGGCCTATCCCAGCCCTTGTATCCCAGTGTCTGAAGACTCATAAGCCTTCGTTTAGATCTTTTGAATGGCATTGTTTTTAATATAATATGAAATATTCGCAGGATGGTTTCTCTTCCTCCCTTGTTTTTATGTTAGTCATATATCGACTCAGGCGTGGACATGGCTATGATATTGTCTTACATTCAGTTGATCCATTCAGACACAGGTGTTGAAAATATTCCCGGAGATGCCCTTCAACACGCTGAGTCATACTTACACTGCTTAAGAAGGCAGATAGTTATAGAGCAGAATTAATATTAATGAGGCATTTTGACACTGGATTGGGAAGCCATTACATTTTTTTACCTTTCATGGAGGCCTTGAAAGTGATTCGTTTTATTTATGTTCCTTCTTCAGAGTTGTAATAGAAAAATTTACATGAAGTTAGGGTAACTTAAGGGGCAAATATGCTTGTAGGCTAGATCCTGCCCTAGTAGGCTTGTGCCTGAATTTAATTTTCAGATAAAGTGTAGGAAGAAGAAAAGGAGTGGATGTTTTGGCCTTTGGAAGATCAAAGCAAATGAAAAGAAGTAAATGTATAGAGTGTCTCTGTTAATATGGCATAGGGATGGGATGGAGAACATTGAGAGATTTTCATTATTGTTCAGAAAACTGGAAGGGTTTGGGTGGGAGCATGGAGAACATTGATATGCTTCTTATGAGGTATATATATTTTTTCTTGATTTGAAGAGCTAGTGTAGAGGACAAAGCAATATCTGCAATGCACTGTCACACTCAGCTGGAATGCTCTCCTGCTGAATCATTTGCTGTCATGTCTGGCAAACCCCAGGAACCAAGTTACATATACTAGAATATAGGCATAGACTTAGTACATTTTCCCAATGCTTTTGTCTCCCAAAGTCAAGTTTTAGTGGTATGAAAAGAGGGAGCAAAAAGTGCAGAGGATGACATTGATATTAAAAGTTGCATGATCCTATGGCCTCTAAGTAAGTATACAATACACTGCTGCCCTGTCTCACCAGCAGCCATCAACCATATAATTCACTGGCAAATAGATTGTGATACTGTCTCAATACTGCTAAAAAAGTATGAGCTATAGTAGCATTGTTTACACTAGTAGTACTAGTTGGTGGAGACAAAAAGGAATATGCCTAGAAGCTATAAACTTTATTAAGAGTCTGAATTGACATTCCTTCTTGTACTACAAGGTTAGGTAATGACATTTTCAACCAATGCTCTCACTTCAAATAAACAAAGTCTCAAGTTGACACATTTTCTCACATGGCTCTTCTGACTTAAGTTTGTAAGTTTGACATCCTAGGGAAGGGAAAGAGGGGAGGGGGAAGTGCCAGGCAAAGACGATATCATTACTGAGACAATCCAAAATCACTCAGAGTATCATAATTTTATGTGTGCTCCACTTTTCAGGGTTCATCTGCCCCAGTTACAGATGTCCCATCCAGAACATGTTCGACTGAGAGTTGTCGACAATAAGGACTATGTAGCTGATGAAAGTGAATATCTCTTATCTCCAAACGATTCTGTGAAGATTCGTCAACCTGTGGATTGGAAGAAGTACTCTCCTCAACAAGGCTTTGCTTCAAATCTATTCTGTGCCATGTGCAAGTAAGTCCCCTTAGCTTGTTACTTAGATAGAATTGTCAGAAGATGTGTATACAAGAGTGAAAATCCCTGTTGCTTATAAGTTACAAACAAATGGAAGAGAATGAAGGGCAAATGCATAAGTACTGTTCCCTCTTTACTCCCTAAGTTGGCAATGGCAAAAAAAAACTGAACTTACCTAATAAGAAAAAAAATAAAAATGTGTGTTTGTCCAAGGACCATATCTCCAGTGATAAACTTTTGAGATTGTCCACATGCAGATAGTTTGCCCTTTTGAGAAGGCTGTGTAGAGGGCATATTAGGACCTTAGAATGACTCATTTCATTTGAATGTTTTCTGGAAATTTCAGATTCTTGTGCACCTAAAAACTGTCATACAGCATGCATTTCACCTAGTTCAGCATGAGTGATGTGAAGCAAGACAAATTTCAATGAACAAAAGTTGCATCTGCCCAGTGCCTCACAATTCAGAGCAACAAGGTTCTATTTATTGACCAATTATACAGATATTTATTTCCTAACCAGTCAAGCAAGATAATGACTTATGTTTAGCCCCACCACTTATGCTAACATGAATACCCCAAAGATAGGAGGAAGAAAGAAATGAAAAGAGGAAAAAGAAAATGTCCTGGCACATGATTTTATGGTAAAGTTAAGATTCCTCGCTTACAAAAACAACGCCTGAGACACGTGTACAGGCTGTGAGAAACTGCAAACAAATTTTCTCTTACAGCACTCTCATAAATGTCAAACTTGAGAAATTCCTGATTGGTAGAGTCATTTTAAGGAAAAGGGGCATACATTATGTTTCCAGAAGTATTGGGATAAGCCTCCCTCTGCTGATAACAGAATATCCCAGAGACCATGTGGTAGATGGCATTATATCAGCCAAAAAGTGCATAAAGGTAATCGACAGTCTGTTACATTCAGTGTTGCTAATATTGCCATGGATCAGAGCTGACAGTTTGAACATGGAATGGTGATGTCATCCTTTGTGCCAATTTGCCAATATTTTTGGTAATATAGTGTACTTTATTCTCATAGGGGAAAGCTGTAGGAATGGAATTCAGACTGGAATATAAACTTAAATTTTTTTAATTCTCCACATTGGATGGTCCTGAAGGTATCCCAATCTGATACATGCCATTTCTGTACCCTCCTCCCTCCATTTTACCCTCAAGGCTTTTATTTTTAATCTGATTGCTCTACTCAATCCTAAATTGCAATGTAGGTGGAGCTGTTTCCGTTCACGTGAACCAAGAGCCAGAGATATCATCATAGGAGAACCGGAACAAGGAACATTCCCTCCCAATGTCATAAGAAACCAAAAATATGGAATCTTCACATTTGTCCCATGTGTGAGTAAACTTTTATGAAAAACTACCAATATTCATGGTAGAAACGTCTCACTTTATGTAGGCTTCTATGCCTGACATTAAATTAGTTTTGAAAGGATGTCATGAAAGGCATTTCTTAAGAATTTAATGCTTATCACATCATACATTTTACTTTTGGTTTTTCTGTAGCATGCAGTTCAAATATTCTTTATGTAAACTCTAAGTATAAATTAAACCAATGTTTTCTTCTAATTTTGGCTGATTAAAGTTTCCAATTATCTTTGTGTAGAAGAATGTGCCCCTTTAGTATTGTCTTCATGTAAGTGATCATTAGTGAAATATAATTTTTTTTTCTGTATAGGTCCTGATATTGCAGTTCCAGTTCTTCTTGAACTTCTACTTCCTTGTCATGGCTCTTTCACAGTTCATACCCATAATCCGAATTGGGTATATTTACACATACTGGGGTCCTTTGGTAAGAGTTATCTGGATAATGTCATTCTTGGAATTTTTTCATCAGATTATTATTGCCCTATTGTTGTCAGCTTGATATTGAGTTGCAAGTATGCATAGTATGAGTTATATTTTCCTGAAAAAGTAGAAAGATATATACTGCTGCTTCAGGGAGAACCCAATTATTCAGTTCCAAAGGATTTCTAATTTCAATTGGATCTTCTTCTGCAGGGCTTTGTCTTATTCGTCACCCTCTTGCGAGAAGCAGTGGATGATTACAGACGTTACAAGAGGGACAAAGAAGTAAATAATCAAAAGTATACAAGACTTATACTTGGAAGTACTCAAGTTGCTACCAGCTCACAGATAAAAGTTGGTGACATCATTCTCATTGAAAAGGTTTGTTCTCTTTTTCAAGTTCTGCTCACTAGGCATACAACTGGGACATACTATGATTTTGAATATCAGTTCTGTGTTAAATGCAGTTTCATTTTCCAATTTTGGGCTTGCTTGGTTGATAGAAGCTCCTTGACCATACTTTTCTGTGTCATTCCAGTAGCCCACCAGGTTAAAATAATAATGATATTTTGAGTACATTTAATGCAAGATGTAATTCAAATTATCAGGATTCCCATACGGAAAAATCACATATGATTTTATAAGATATGAACATATATAGGAAATATATCTGATCATATATTGCTATTGAAACAATGAGTATATGATCATATATGGCAAGGCCATATTAGAATTTTATAAAAAGCATGTATGTAAAAGCGGAGGTGGAGCAGGTGAGAGGTGGAGCAGATAAGAAACTTTTATGATTTAATATATTTATCTATATATCTAGCAAGCTGGGTTGCCCGGGATATTTTATAGGAGTAATATAGCTGTTGTTCTTTTATGTGCTTTTATGTTAGTTCTTATTTGTCTAAGTCCGGCCAGACCGACGGGGACGGGAGCACTGCTCTGGCCATTTTATTTTTATTTGTTTTTTTTTCCTTATTTTTTAAAAGTTGTTCTAAATTAATTAACTCAAAGGGGCTCTTCTACACAAAGATAATTGGAAACTTTAATCAGCCAAAATTAGAAGAAAACATTGGTTTAATTTATACTTAGAGTTTACATAAAGAATATAGACGGGAGCACTGCTCTGGCCATTTTATTTTTATTTGTTTTTTTTTTTCTTATTTTTTAAAAGTTATTCTAAATTAATTAACTCAAAGGGGCTCTTCTTTCACAAAAATTTAACTTAAATGAGTTTCTCAATGATATTCTTATTTCACAGGAAAAACTAAACTCCATTTTCTCACTGCACTGAAAAAAAATTCTAAATTCTAAAGTGTCTCAATCATTCACCGCAATGCTTGAGAAATCTAGCTGGCTGGAACACCCTTTTTGGGGTGTTCCTTATAACAAATTTAGATGGCCTAAATTTTGCAATTTTTTCTTTCAAAGAATGATGAGAACTTGCGATAACAAGAATTATGATACAGTAAAAGGTATTATGGAAAAAAAACAGGAGTGATCCCAAATTAAACATTTATAATTATTCAGCAATTGGATGGAGTAGTAGGTAATGGTGTGAAACAGCCAAGAAATGTCAATACAAAATCTTTAGTGGATGGCATGTTCTTCCCACAAGTTAAAGAGGGAACTTATTCAAGAACAATGAACCAGTGACTAATCAGATACATAGTGGCCCAATTGTTACACTCAATTCAAGAGATGTGACTTGGCTTTAGGTATGTTATCGGCGACACTGGCCTCGAGACAAGATTTCTTTCTTTGCCTTCCAGCACCAATTTTATTGGTTATTTTTCTTTTCCAAACTTTCCTGGCACTCGGATTCTCCCTGGCTGCAGAAAACAGGAAATCAACTTGGTTTTGGTTTGCGATGTTCTTTAGATTTTATTCCCTGGGAATAGAAGTCAACTTCTTGTCCATCAAACCAATCAGAACGGCAACTTTCAGCTCTTCATTGCATGAAAATCTTTTTCCTTGCAAAATTTTTTTCAAGTGTCTTAACAGAAAATAGTCACTAGGAGCCAGATCCAGGCTGTAGGGAGGATGGTTGACCTCCTGAAAGCCACACTCCCTCACTGCTGCCTGAACTTTCCACGATTTGTGGACAGGCACGTTGTCATGGAGAAGAAGGACCCCCCGTGACAACTTTCCTCTGCATTTTTCCTTGATGGCATCATGTAAATTTTTTATGGTGGTAGCATAGGAATCGCCAGTGATTGTACACTCGTCTGGCATGAACTCAAGCAGCAATAGTCCCTCGCCGTCCCAAAACACAGTGGCCATAATATTTCCTGAAGATTTCTGAACACGAAATTTGCAAGGGGTTTTCAATCCCTTGTGCTTCCACTGCATGGACTCCTGCTTAGTTTCAGGATCCCAGTGATGAACCCAAGTTTCATCACCAGTTACTATTCTGGGAAAAAACTTTTCCCCAATTTGTTTAGAAAACTCTAAGTTTTCCTTGCAGATGTCAGATCTGTTCTTCTTCTGAGCTGGAGTCAGCATTCTTGGGACCATCGAGAACTGACTTTGGGCATGTGTAATTTTTCATGAATAATGTGAATCA